GGAGGATGGAGGGACAGCGCAGGAGGGGAAGACCCTCTATGAGATGGGTTGATTCGGTGACTGGGGTAATCGGGATGGGTGTGTCAGAGGCAGTGCGGATGGCGCAGGATAGAGCAGGGTTTAGGGCTGTTGTACATAGGGTCGCTATGAGTCGAAAACTACTTGACGGCACATAATAACAACAACAATAACAACATCCCACAGGAAGCTTTGTCCTTTTTACGATTTTAAGTTTTGTCAGATTTTCCTCCCCCTTTCTATCAGGGACCTTATACTGGAATCCTTTTGCTAAGGGTGAAGCCAAGTTTTTCCTTGGAGGTTAGAATTTTGAAGTTCTGTCTTACTTACTTTGGGCATGTGGCCAGGAGAGATTGGTTCTTGTAGAAGGACATCATGCTCGGAAGGGAGGATAGACAGCACTGGTGAGGGAGGTCCCAGATGAGATAGATTGATACAGTAACTGGAGTTATGGCGGTTGGTGTGTCAGAGTTAGTGAGACTGACTCAGGACAGGGAAGGGTACACAGCTGCTGTATATAGGGCTCCTTTACATTGCAGGCGACTCATGGCATATAACAACAATAACATACTATCACAGATCTGAAAGCAGGAGTGGTATCCACTTCCTAAACAACATGCCTCCAGAAACTCTATGAACTTTGATAAATGTTGATAGTTGTAGAGGGGCTTCAGGCCCTTTGTTCACAGGGTCACTATGAGTTGTGCTCGACCTGAAGGCAATCAACAACAACAACAACAATCTAGTTTTGATCTTAAGGCCATGAAGACTTCCATGTGGTTTATCTTCTAAACTAACAGTCAATATTCTTCACTCTTCTTTGCTCTGGGCAGGGAGAGACTAATAGTTGCACCATGAAAGGACAGTCACATGCTTTTTAAAAAATTTTTTATTTGTTTGCATATAATCATTCATATACATAATGTTTTTTACAGGTATTTTGTGATTTTATTCATGTACCTTGTATTTTATACAATCATTCATCTCCATTATATTTTAGATCTTTACCATTTTTCTATGCTTATTATCTCCCTGTCTTTCCAAGTCCCCATTAAACATTTCTCAATTCTTCCCCCTACCTTCACCCCCACCAACCTCTGCTATCCCAGTGATTTTCCCCCTTCTCCATTTTCCTTTTCTCCTTCCTCTTTGGAGTATTTGTACATATCTTGCTCAATTATCTTCCTATTATCACTCACAAACTTTTAAGGCCTTTATCAAAGTAGGACATAGAACATTCCCTTTTGGACTATGTTATGCCAATTTACTTTGATGTCTCCTATGTCTATAAGTCTGAGCTTCAAGGCCCTATGGCATGTTCCTTCAACATATTGTTACTTGGTTATGTACTTTGAATTATTATAAAGTTTGTGCTCAGAATTATCCTAACATAAGAAATATTTTACATTAATAATTAAAGATTACATAATAATACAAATGTTTTAGGATATGTCATGAACTTCCATTTATATTCTGTGATAAGAGATACTGTAAATGTTTAGCTCGTCTTCAAGTCAACCAAGATCTAACAAGGAATTTTTACCATCTATCTTATACTTTATATGAAAATCAAATGTAATCTTTGAATCTCCCTCCTGTCACCCAGCCAGATACACAATTCAACATCATCATTCTCAACTATATAGAAAAAGAAAACAAATCAATATGAGTTTGTTGTTTTACTGTTTAGAGATAAGATATTTTGATTTTCATATGTCATAATTGAAATCATGTGAATCTTTGAATACTTGGGCTTCAAATTCCATCTGGCTCTGTAAAATAAAAGTGCTCAAATTAGTATAGATTTCCAAAAAAGTAGACCAAAACTAATTTTCTATATGTCTCCTTAATGTTTAAGAAGAGACACAAGTAACTGAGGGAGGAAGGTACTCAAGGGCTTATTTTCACTAACATGGTACTTGGAATAAAATCATGACTGACTAAATTTTGAGCACCATGCTGGATTCTGAGATGCAAAGATGAAAAGACCATGTTCACTCAGGCCTTTAAAGTTTCTAGTCTAATAAAGGAATGGGCTGGAGGACTGGTATAAACACTGCAGGGCAGGGTAATGTGCACCACTGAGTTTTGGGATCATAAGCCAGGCCTGGGAATGGCCTGGGATGTTTCCTGGATGAGAAGCTGCATTGAAAGCCGGAATGAGAAAGGATGTGGTCCAGAAAATAAGAACATAAGAGCATTTCTAACATTCATTAACAAGGTAGTTGGGAAGAATCTAGACAGCACTAAAACTCACTGCTATTGAGTCAGTTCTGACTCAGGGCAATCCTCCGTGTATTGAAAGGAGACAGCAGGCAAAATATTACACAAAAGTTTATCGTCATAAAGAAGGTATCACTCTCTTTTCCTTTCCTTCCTTCCTTTTTTCCCTCCCACTCTCTTGCTTCTACCTTCCTTAGATGCCCTCTCCCTCACTTCAAGGTGGGAAAGATTTTAATCTGCTGAAATTTGGATATAAAGGTCTCCATAGAGAGGACAGAGTTTGAAGATGAAAGGTAGAAGTAAATTACATCTGCGGAAATGGAAAGAAATAGATCCCAGATCCTCCATCTGATTATTTTGAAAATAACTGATTCAATATTTATTGTTGCTGTTGTTTTTGTGGTGTGTGGAATAGACTGATGGATGACCCTCCAGTGGGTTTTTGGAGACTATAAATCTTGGGAGAATGTCTATCTTTTTCTTCCAGAGCAGGTGCATTAAAATAACTGCCAGTGCAACCGTTTAACTACTAGGCTACCAGAGCTCCCCTCAACATTTATTGTTGTTATTGTTATATATCTTTGAGTCAGAACCTACTCACAGCTGATCTGACCAGGGGAGTTTTAGAGGCAGTAAACTGCACAGAAGGAGACTACTCATCTTTCTCCAGCAAAGAGGATGGTGGATTCAAACTGTGAGCATTTGGGTTAGCAGTGTAACTCCTTAGCCTAAGGCACCAGAGCTCCCTCAATATTTATTGCTGTTGTTGAGTACAGCTGAGTCAGAACTGACCTATAGCTGACCCTCCAGCCACACTTCCAGAGGCTGTATATTGTTAGTGAGGAGACTCCATCTTTCTCCCATGAAGCAGCTGGTAGATTCGAACCACATACCTTTGTTTTGACAGTGTAATTCCTTACAACTATGCCACTAGAGCTCCAATATTTACTGTTATTGTTGTTATGTGCCATGAAGTCAACTATGACTCATAGTGACCCTATGAATTCTGCTTTATCATGAGCCAATCTCACTGTCTTTTAAACACCAGCCTTCATTGTCATAGTCACTGTGCCAATTCATCTCCTCCAGGCTCTTCCTCTTCTGCACTCCTCCAAGCATGATGTCCTTCTTTAAAAAGTGGTCCCTTATGACAATATGCCCAAAGTATGTAAGACAGAGCTTCATAATCCTTGCTCTAAGGAGCAACCTGGTTCCATTGTTTCCAAGAAACAGACTTATTTGTTCTCTTGGCAGCCCTTGGTTTGTTCAATACTCTCCTCTAGCACCACAACTCAAAAACATTGAGTCTTTTTCTGTCATCCTTAATCATTGTCCAGCACTCAGATACATAGCAAACAATTCAGAAGACTTGGATCAAGTGCACCCTAGTCTCTATACTGACATCATTGCTCCTTAGTACTCTGGAGAGATCCTTGACAGTAAGAATGTTGATTGTGGACCCAAGCAAAATGAAATTGTTAATTAACCTCAATCTCTTCTCCATCTATCTTGAAGCAGTCAAACTGACCTGGTGGTGAGAATCTTTGTTTTCTTGATGTTGCGTTTCAATCCATATTGAAGACTGCAGTACTTGACCTTCTGCAGCAAATGGTTCAAGCCTCTTCAGTTTCAGTGAGCAAGGTTGGTTAATCTATATAATGCAGAATGTTGAGGAGTCTTCTCCAATTTTGATGCCACATTTTTCTTCATAAAGTCTAGTTTCCTGAATGATCTGTTCTGCATATAGATTGAAAAGGTATGGAGACAGGACACATTCCTGACCTAGTCCTTTCCTCATTTTGAACCATGTCTTGTTTCCTTCCACTGTTCTGATGAATGCTACCTAGTTTAACAATAGGGTTCATTTGAGCACACTCAAGTGTTCTGAGATTCCCATTCTTCTCAAGGTCAGCCAAAATTTGTTGTGAGGCGCACAGTCAAATGCTTTCAAACAGTCAATAAAACACAAATAGACATTCTTCTGGTATTCTCTGCTTTTTGACAAAGATTCATCTGACATCAGCAATGATATTTCTAATGTCATGACCTTTTTTATACCCAGCTTGTATTTCTGGCAGTTTTCTGTTGTTGTACTGTTTCAGTAGTTTTGAATAATCTTCAGCAAGATGTTACATGTATGATATTAGTGATATTGTTTAATAATTACCACATCCTTTTGGATTACCTTTTTTCCCATTAGAATAAATATGGATCTCTTCCAGTCAGTTGGCCAGGTAGTTGCCTTCCAGATTACTTGGCACAATCTGGTGAGCACATCATGGGCTGCATTTGTTGTTGAAATATGTCAACTAATATTCCATAAATTCCTGGGACCTTATTTTTTGCCAATTCCTTCAGAGTAGCTTGAATTTCCTCCTTTATCAACATTGCTTCTTGATAATTTGCTGTTTCATGATACTGTTCTGTGTCAGCCAATTCTTTTTGATACGATGACTCTGTGTACTCCTTCCATCTTCTTTTGATGCCTCTTGAATTACTCAATATTATGTCCACAGTCTTTTTAAATACTGCAACTTGAGACTTGAATTGGTTCTTCAGTTCCTTATTTTTTGTTGTTGTAGTTAGGTCACTGTACCAAAAATTAGGCTGTTGAGTATAACCCACAGTGACCCTAAGAACAACAGATCTGAACTCTATCTTTTTCTGTGCCACTTGCTAACACACTCAAGGCCATTGAATCAGTCACTGTATCAATCCATCTGACTTAGGATCTTCCTTTCTTTTGCTGTTCCTCCACCTTTTCAAGCATGATGCCTCTCTCTAAGGATTAACCTCTCCAGCCTCTCCTAGCTATATGTCCAAAGTATATGAGGTGAAGCTTTATCATCTTTGCCTCCAAGAAACATTCTAGCTGCACTTTCTCCAAGATATATTTGGTGTTTTGTGTGTGTGTTTTTTTTCTTTTCTTTTGGCAGTCCATGGGATATTCAGTACTAGTCTCCAACATTACAGCTCAAAGATATCTATTTCTCTTCTGTCATCCTTATTTATTGTCCTTACTAGGGCAATATTCCTTACTAGGTACTTTTAAAATGTTAGATGCAGTACCTAGTAAATTAATTATGGGGGGGAAAAACCGCAGAATTCCTCACCAAATAAACATCTGAATGATTAAACAGACAATAAGCAAGTTACCAGTCTGGGCAAAGATGAATATAGTGAAGAAAATTGAAACAGGGTTAGGGTATGGAGAAAGTAGTAGTAGTTAAGAAATTCAAGATGACATAGTGAAGGGATGAAAGAAGTGATACTGAGGTTTAGGAAGACCTGAGGAAAGAATCTGAAGATTTAGAGACAACAGACTTGATAGTTTGAGAATACCATAGGAACACAATGCAGCTCCAGGGCAAGAAAGAATTGGAAATTGAGATGAGGATAAGAGGAAAACAGTCGACCTATTGACTGCACTGGAGAGCTTCAAGCAAAAGTGGGACATATTAGGACTTAGGTTTTCAAAATATACTGGATATCATGAAGAATAGCTAGGAATAGAGGTGATAAGAAATAATAAATCTGCTTATCTAGACTGTTGACTGTAGATATTGGCCAACAGATGTGTGACAAAACTCAAAATGTTTTAAAGGAGAAGCCAACAGTACTTTCAGAGAGAGAGAGAGTTAGTACTCTTTAGTTTCTGACTGAACACTTGAATGCATGGGGTGCATGTATTGAAACAGGAATGGCATAGGTAGGGGTATGCTTGGGGAAAACCAAGAGTTTGTTCAAAACATCTGGATGGAGATGAAGAGTAGGCAACTGGGGACATTGTCTAAAACCAAAACTAAGCCTTGTTGTTGAGTTGATTCTGATTCATAGTGACCCTAGAAGACAGAAAAGAACTGGCCTAGATGGTTTTCAGAATTTTAATCTTTACAGCCATACTGTCACTAATTGGAATGAGTTAAAATTGTTCAACTTTTTGGCTGAGTGCATAGCCACTATGGTAGAATTTGCACATCACCTTACTTTAACTGCTAAGACTTAAGTATTTCAATAAATTTCCATCACCTACAAGATAAAATCTAGGTTCCAAGTACCACAGAACTTACAACCTCCATGTCTATCTTTATCACTATTTTAACCCTTACTGAGAGGTCTTCCAATACAGATTCATTTATATGTAACTTCATTAATTATTTGTAAACTTATAAATGAATTCTTGAGTGGGGTGAAGCTATTAATCTACAGTCTTGCTTCTCATTTACTCATTGCCATCAGGTCAGAACTAATTCATAAATGACCCTCAGTTTTCTAAGGCTGTAAGTCACTGGGAATCAAATTCTCCCTTTTTCTCCTGTAGACTTGCTGGCGAATTAAAATCACCAGAGTGGTTCACAGGTTACAGTTGTTGTTGTTAAGTGCTGTTAAATCAAGTATGACTTATAGGGACCCTATGAACAAAATATTTAAACCCTGTGCTATAACTACTGTCATTTCTCTAATGTTCATAGAGTTTCCAAAAGCCTGTTGGTTAAGAAGTGGATGCCAACCCTGTTTCAAAGCCTGTCTTAATCTGGGAGCTCTACCAACCCTGTCCACCATGGGTAACCATTGTGGCATTTGGCAAACCAGTGGCACAACATTCAGTATCACAGAAACTCCAAGTTATCTCAGTACAGCCAACTGACAGACCACTGCTGTACCACTTAGAACAATGTTCTTCCAAAACACAATAAAATGAACAAATAGGTTTCTCACTAATGGGTTTTCCTTATTTAGAAGCAATGCATCATTCATCTATTCTGCCACTCATCAATCTGTCTTGGGTTTTTTTACCCTAGTTTATATTTTGGTCATGACTAGATTATCATTACCTTTGGATCTGGTAAACATGGTCCAAAAGCTTCCAGAAGAAGAGTCTCTTCCTTTACAGCTTGTTCATAGTCTGCAAAAGACAGCTTCCCATCGTGATCATAGTCCTGGACCGGGACAAGCTACATGCTAGTCAACATGTTAAAAAATACTTATCTGCATAAGTAAATGAACTCAAAGTAAAGTGTTAATAAAAGAAAGGCTATAGGAAAAGAAGAGGTTAAATAGTGAAAATTAGAAAAGAATTTTAACATTATAATAAAATAACACTATCAAGTCTTTTATTTCACCAAGCAGGAAAATTATAATTGTCTTAATTTTAATTTCTATTTCCATCCCAAAACTGGCCTGCCAACTTCCAAATTCATATTTACCATTTTCTTAAGTGTTATTTCAACCAGATCTTTAATTCCCTCATCAGGATCTTCTTCAGATGGCTGTTTGAGTAGGCTATTCTTCAACATGTGAAACATTTCCTCCTTTGAAATGTATCCATCACCATTCAAATCAAATACTTCAAAGCAATCTTAAAAAATATAAATTTGTTATTACTACCAAGGTAACATTTGCTCTTGATAATGCTTTCATGGCCAAAGTTTACATTGTTGATGTTTTCATCAACCCCATGGGACTTAGTGCAATCTGACTTCCATAGTAAGGGCTTCACAGAGGTTAAGAGAATTTACATACTAATCTCCACAGTATGTCTCCTTACTCTCAGCTATGAGAAAAAAAATATCACAAGACAAAGTGGACATTCCTATTTTGAAACTCAAGGGAATGAATTAGAATGATACTCTTAAACAGAATCAAGCAGAATTAAAATTCAGTAAATTAATAAATAGAGCATTTGAATTCCTAATGCCTAATTTTATAGTAAGGATTCAAATAGAACATTTCAGCAGAAATATTTAAAATTAATATTAAAAAAAATCCATATGTACATAGTTAGAATGCGAAGTATATGCCTATGCAGTAATCCTTGGCATGAATTCCTCCTCCGAATTTCTTTATTTTCCTTTAATAATTTTTTATTCATCCCTTATCATCGATGTGAATTCATTCCACAAGAGAGGTATGTAAAGGACACAGAAACAAACACACAAATTCACCTTCCTCAATGGATGATTTAACTATTTTGAGCTATGCTAACTATGATGTTAAAGTGGAATCTTACATTTTATTTTTTCTTCCAAAGACCCTCGAAGAAACAATGATAATCCATTTATCCACTCTGATATGCTGACACAGCCGTCGTTATCTTTATCAAAACCTCGGAACACTAGTAAGAGAAGAGTGCAGTGTTACACTCTTGGTGCCTTTTTATTCTTAGGAATGGACATACACTGGGACTTCGCTCTTAATATCTAGAGAAATCTCTGGATCTCAATGTTCAAAATCTTCATTAAACAAAGATGAATACCAAGGCATCATATAATAAGAAAAGTATTTTAGTTAAATATTCACATAGTATCTTCACTTCATAGTTTGTTGAATTAAAGACAATCCTGAATATTTAAGCATACTAACAATTAAAGAAAATACCTAAGTAATTAGCTACACTAATTAACATAAAATACACACTTTTGATAGGGAACACAGGTGGTCTAATGCAAAGAAGATGTGTTATAATATCGAAGGCATGTGGGTTGAGGCCATCAGCTACTTCATGAGAGAAAGATGGGCAATCTCCTTTCATGTGATTAACTGCCTCTAAAAATCCACCGGAGGATCAGCTATGGGTTGGTTCTGACTTTATGGTACACCTACGCTACCAAGGCCACCACCGCCACCACTACCACCACCACCACCACCACCACCACATACTTTTGATACTTTAGGAAAATAATGTTCTCACATAACTGATAAATTTTATATTATTTTTAATTTAAATGCTTCTTATGATGTAGAGATTTAAATGTCCCTAAAAAAATCTTTTCATTCATTATTATATTACTATTAGGTAATATATTCTGTAATGTAATAGACAACTATTACAGAATTACAACTATTTCTAAATTTTCTGATTTAAGATAAGGGAAGCCTAGCTATAAAAGTTGGCATTCCTTGTCTTAAATAAATAAACTAGAGTAGATTTTAATGCTTTCGCTATGATTTCTGCATACTAAATTGTTTCACTCAAGTGAACTTGGGAATGTTCTCATTCAAAATCTGTCCCAACTCCAATTTCTTCTCTCACTTATTGCTGCTTAGATTCTTTCTTATTGTCTTACCTCTGTCCATAATCATGTCATCTGTCATTCGAAATGTCACATGCAAGATATTCCGAAACGCATTTCTATCCAGTCCAATAACTGTACCAGGCCGTTCTGCTGCATTGCACACCAATGTATAAAAGAGATTAACTAGGCAATTCACTTCATATGTATTAACTGTGCAAGGACAGAATTGAGATAATACAAAAATCATTAAGTTTTAACTTGCATTCAATATTCAAGAGGTTCTAGACATGCTACATTAAATATGTAATTGTCATTAGAAGACTCCTGCATTGAAGTTTATGACTTAAGAGAATTGAGAATAATCAACACTATTGTTATTCTCTAAAATAAATATGAATTCTTTGTTAATAGGAGCTGAATAGTTGTGTTGGGGAAAAAATATTATCAGCCAATTTATCTAAACATTGAACATGGGTGCAGGTCTTAAGCTTCACAAGATAAATTGATGTTTGGAAACAGGAGAGAGTTTTGGCATTGTTGCCTCCTAATGGTGGTGTGATATGTGAACTGTGGTTTTGGTCTTGTTACAGAACAATAAAAATAAAAAATACACATATTTTTAAAGCATTAAAAAAAGTATGGTGATATTCTTTTTCAACATTTTTATTACAGACATGATGAGATATACAACATAACAATATGCATGCTACAATCCTTTTCTCTTGAAATAGATATCGGGGCCCTAGAATACTAGACAACAATTTTTAATTTACACCAGAAATCTGTTCTCATAGAGCTGATTCTGACTTACGGAAACTCCATGGGGCAAAACCAAACTGCCCTACACAGTTTTGCCACAATAATAAAGCTCTCCAGGCTAACCACAGAAACTCTAAGAATACATACATCTGATAGCCTTAGGAAATCCATGATGAATGTGGTGTTTTGGTTTCTAATCTTTATGGAAGCAGATTACTACACAGTTCTTTAAGGTATTGTATGGGCGCGCTGGTGGTCTAGGGGCAAGAAACTGAGCTGCAATCCCAAGGGCATGTAGTTCAAGGCCACCAGTGCTCCACAGGCGGATAGGCAATGTCCTCCTGTGCAGTTAACTGTCTCTGAAAACCTGCCAGAGGGTCAGCTATGGGTTGGTTTTGACTCAATGGTACATAAAAACAACAATGTCCTTAAAGGTTGGAGTGGCTATACCTCTTGACATTGTCATAGGAGGTGACAACAAAAATCAGATTAGGTCTCATAGTGGTGGCAGCAGTGGCAGCAATGGCAGGTAGATGCTGGGGGTGGGTGGTAACTTGTTAATTTTCTACAATCCTGACCATTGGTGACCATTGGTCAGGTTGTGGCTCCAGCCACTGGGAGAAGAGAATCTCTGTTATGGCCAACAGGAGAAGGGAAGAGCAATGGGAGATATGAGCTCTTACAAGAGTTGCAGGCTGAGTAGTGAGTGTTGAGCTGTGTCTGGACACTACACTCTTGGGTTGAAAGAGTGTTTTCCAGCTGACAAAAGGCGTTGACACCAACCCTTAACGACTTCACAGTAATTAACATATTCAGTCATGTTTTGGAAGAAGGATATTTTTATTTCAATCACAAACACGTACATACACAAGCATACACACACACACACACACACACACACACACACACACACACACACACACAAAATTTCTCAGGCATAAAACAGTTCAAAGGCTCTTGCTCCAGGGCCATTTTTAGGTTTAGGAGGAATAAATTTGCTACAAGAATAGAGAAGCGAATTGATATGAAATATGAGTGGAAAAAAAGGGAAAGTTGTATTTCAAAATAGATAAAATTCTAGTGTCCTTTTATTTTTTTAAAAAAGAATAAATTCTGTATGCATACTAAATGGCAAAACAGAGGCACTGAGCAGTATAACCTTAACACACAGTGGCTACTCTGGGCTGGCCTTGCATTTAACTTCTGGTTTGGGACCTTACAATTTAGGAGAAGCACTGAAAACCTTGGAGGAAGTGTAATTAAACGATTTTATTAAATGGTAGAAAATAGGCATAATTATAATACACTGAAAGCGATTACTGTTTAGGGAAGAACAGCTCATAAAAGGATTGGTATACTAGATCTGTGATATGTTACCATTTTCTCATCTTGCTTGACCTATATATTTAAATATAGATTGTTGTTTTAGGTAACATCCAGCCAACTACAACCCCTATTGCCCCTGTAAACAACAGATCTCACCCTGTCTTATTGTTTACCATTCTCATCTTCTCTGATATACTTGAACTCATTGGTACAGTCACTGTGTCAATCCATCTTATTGAGAGTTTTTTCTTTTTTTTACTTTTCTTTTTTTAAATTTTAATGAAAGTTTACAGAGACTCTGGATTTCCATTCTTTCATTGTTGCACACTTTCCTCCTTCCCTACCCCTCTTCCCGAGTTCACTTTTCTCTTCGAAAAGTAAAAGAAAAAAGAAAATTCTTTCACTATTATACAATCCCCATCCCACCCCCAGTATACTCCACTATGCAGCTTTCATTCTGGATTCTTGTCATGACAATAATATCTCATCATATATTCCTTCTAAACAGTTCTCTCCCTCATATGTTTCAATGCAGCATACATTATTTATTCCCTCTTACTTTCCTCCCAACTCCAGTGTTAGACCTGCTTTACAACAGTGGCTGGCACTATGCAGTTATTTGTCCTTTTGTGACTCAGATATTCCACTCAGCATAATGTCTTCCAGGGTCACCACTTTTGTAGACTATTTTATGAGTTCCTTGTATTTCAATGCAGCATAGTATTCCATTGTGTGAATAAAGCAAAGCTTCTCTAGCCATTCGTTTGTTGATGGCCACTTGAATTGTTTCCAGCTCTTTACTAATGTGAACAAAGCCACAATAAACACGGGTGTCTGTATATCTGCTTGGGTGGCAGTTATGGTTTCTTTAGGGTATACTCCTAGTAGTGGAATTGCTGGGTCAAATGGTGTTTCTATTTCCAACTTCCATAGTGGTTGTTCCATTTTACATTGCCACCAACAGTGAATAAGTGTTCCAGTTTCTCCACAAACTCACCAGCATTTGTTGTTTGCTGTTCTGTTAAATTTTGCTATTCTTAGTGGGGTGAGATGGTATCTCATAGTTGTTTTGATTTGTATTGGAAATGCATTAAGATCCACACCCTCACACCGTATACAAAAACAATCAAAGTGGATCAAAGACCTAGGACTAAAACCAAGGGCTATAAACTTCATTGGAGAAAATCTTGGAAGAACTCTAGAAGCCCTCATCCACAACATAAACAGTCTTTCAAACCTCCTGAAAAACCTACAACCAGGAGAGGGTAAAATAGGTGAATGGGACCTTCTAAGAATCAAATCCCTATGCACATCCCAAAACTTTTCCAACAGGGTAAAAGGGAATACCTCATACTGGGAAAAATATTTGGTAATGATATGTCTGATAAAGGACTTATATCTAGGATTTATAAAATACTTGAGCACAACCAAAAGATAAACAACACAATTGAAAAATGGGCACAGGATATGAACAGACACTTTACCAAATAAGACATTCAGATGGTGAACAAACACATGAAAAAATGTTTTTCTCTATTTTATTGAACTTCTTCTTTCCCAAGCATATTATTCTATGGAATCCCCTGGTCACACATTCTCAAAGAAATATGTTTGTTCTTTGGCAGTCCATTCAATACTCTTATCCAATACTGCAACTGAAAGGTTTCATTTCTTTTTCTGTCACCTTTATTCAACTTTGTTCAACTTTGAGATGCATAACAAGTAATTGAAAATAGCAAGGTTTGGATCAGAAGCACCTTGGTATTTAAACTGATATCCTTGTTCTCCAGCACATTGGAGAGGTCCTTGAAAGCAGATTTTCCTAATCACTTTTTTACTGTTGTTATGTGGGTGTTGACTGTGTATCCAAGAAAGAAGAAATCATTGACAACTTCAATCTTTTCTCGAACTATCATGATGTCATCTATTGGTCCAGGGATGAGGATTTGTGTTTTCTTGATGTTGAGATGTAATTAATATTGAAGGCTGTAGTCTTCGATATTCCTCAGAAAAC